GGAGGAGAAGATTCTTTTTCCAGGGAGTTACACAAACACACACTGAGTGAGTTTTAATGCCCTCTACCAGTATTGATTACCCAGACGTCTGACTGATTGGGAGCCAGATACCAAAAAAGCACACATCAATAAAATACTCTGGAAAACCTGGGTTTTAAAGACACTGCCCTTTCCCACCCACACAGAAACACAAACAGCTGCCATGCAATTAAATTATTCTCCAGGTCCACTGAGCTGCAACAGTGCCAGTTTGTGATGCCAAGGAAGTAGTCCGTCACAAAACCCAGAGAGAAGATAAAAATCTTTTTGACTGATTCAAGGTTGTTACTCTTGGATGCTGGTCGCAACTAAGGTAGATAAAAACTAAATTAAAACAACAACCTCACTGCCTCTGCTCTTCAAGGCACACAAATCCACAAGATTACTCTAACCTGCTGCTTCATGACTGCTCGGCGCCCATTCCCATCCATCACCAGACACCGTCCCGCTGGGATATCATCGGTCTGACATTGTGTACTTCTAGATGTTGTGAGGCTGCAGTGCAGTGGGTGTTCTGCAAGACTCTTTATTACCTGTTGAATGTGTGGCCACTTAAAAATGACAAAAAGGGTCATTTTAAACTGGAGGCAGGTCTAGCTGTTAGTGATGATGGCAAATGTGTGGGTGAATCAAGAAGCTACACCTTAGACATACATCAGTCCTTCCCTGGATTCTCGTTGGCCCACACTGCCACTACTCACTTTAATGCTGACTGTGGCTTTGATGCTTTCACCTCCTTCTTTGGCAGCTTCTGTAATGCTTGCCATGCAGTAGTTTTTAAATGTATAATACTCTCAGCCTAATGCCTAGAAATGAGTGCAAGGCCCTGTGTATTAGAAACAGACTGTCAGCTTTAGATCAGTTTCAGTAGCCCAGAAAATCCAGTGAGGGGGGTGAGAGAGGGATTTGTTTCTGGGAGGTACAGTAAGTCCGACAATGGGGATATTGTCGGACGGTGGAAGGAATACTTCGAGGATCTCCTCAATCCCAGCGCCATGTCTTCCGATGAGGAAGCAGAGGCTGAGGGCTCAGAGGTGGACCCGTCCATCACCCAAGCTGAAGTCACTGAGGTAGTCAAGAAGCTTCTCGGTGGCAAGGCACCGGGGGTGGATGAGATCCGCCCTGAGTACCTTAAGTCTCTGGATGTTGTCGGGCTGTCTTGGTTGACACACCTCTGCAACGTCGCATGGCAGTCGGGGACAGTGCCTCTGGACTGGCAGACCGGGGTGGTGGTCCCTCTTTTTAAGAAGGGGGACCGGAGGGTGTGTTCCAACTATAGGGGGATCACACTCCTCAGCCTCCCCGGGAAAGTCTAT